ACTTGGTGAAATTTTGATCCCTTTCTTTGTTTTTCTTTTGTTCAGGTTGGTTCATCGTCTTGTGAATCGCCCACACGAATCAAAATGCTAAAATCAGACTTTGCATCTCTCTCAGAGAAGAATGCAGAGTTGAAGAAGCAGGTCAGAGAGCTAACAGAAAAGCTACGGTTAGCGGAACAAGGATCAGACAATGCACGAAAACAGGTTCTAGCTTTGGGATCACAGATCAAGGCGGGTCCTTTTGGAACTGTCAAGAGTCTAAGGACTAATCCAACTATTCTATCCGATGAATCTGTAAACCCGAGACTGGCAAAGATTCTAGAGAAGATTGCTGTCGATAAAGAGGTAATTGTGGCTCTTGCAAACTCGAATGTGAAATCAATGTTAGAGGTTCAGATAGCTAGCATAAAGAGAGTGGGTATAACGAACTATTTGGTGGTCGCATTGGACGATTACATAGAGAATTATTGTAAATCAAATGATGTTGCTTACTACAAGAGAGATCCAGACAAAAACGTGGATACGGTTGGGAAAACCGGAGGTAACCATGCCGTATCTGGATTGAAGTTCCGCGTATTAAGAGAGTTCTTGCAACTCGGTTATGGTGTTCTTCTCTCGGATGTGGACATTGTCTTCTTGCAGAACCCGTTTAGTCATCTATACAGAGACTCTGATGTGGAGTCAATGAGTGATGGCCATAACAATATTACGGCTTATGGATTCAACGATGTGTCTGATGAACCAGCCATGGGTTGGGCTCGGTATGCTCACACGATGAGGATATGGGTTTTCAATTCCGGGTTTTTCTATCTAAGGCCTACAATTCCATCAATCGAGCTGCTGGATCGCGTTGCGGATAGACTCTCCAAGGCAAACTTGTGGGACCAAGCGGTTTTTAATGAGGAATTGTTTTATCCTTCACATCCTGACTACATTGGGCTTCACGCATCTAAGAGAGTAATGGATATGTATGAGTTTATGAACAGTAAGGTCCTTTTCAAGACTGTAAGAAAGAATCAGGAACTGAAGAAGAAGGTGAAACCGGTGATTGTTCATGTGAATTACCATCCAGATAAGCTCAATAGAATGCGAGCCGTGGTTGAGTTCTACGTAAATGGCAAGCAAGACGCGCTTGATAGCTTCCCAGATGGTTCTGAATGATTCACCTGATAAGCAGCTAGGCTAAAAAGTTTCACAGTTTCTTGACATTGGTGATTCTAATTTTATTTTTCCTTGATTGTTTCCAGGTTTAATGCTTCATGCCTTTTGGTTTCTTTTTTGTATGATGAATTTTGTGTATCTTATGACTAAAATCTGAAGTCTTTTTTTACTTTTCTGTTCTTGTTACCATTTCTTTCTCTAGTTTCATATATGCATAATGAACCCTTTTTCTCCCACATTGCTCTCTCTGTCTCTCTTTGGGTTCTGTTTCAGCCTTTCATGTTTCCTCTGTTTCATCATTCAAACCAACTTAATAATGTAATATTTGTATTGTTTTCCAAAACCTAAAAGGGATGATAATAGTAACATACATCATAAATATTCTATCTACAAATAATGCGTTATGAAACAAACTCACTGGTACAATGAATATCAATTCTAGTACAAGAACCAAAACCATGAACTCAACAACACACTAAGACTCAAATCCTTCTTTTCGACATGCCATAACGGGTAGTTCCTGCGTGCTTCATCTCAGCTATGAGCTTTACCATTTCCAAGTGTGAGCTCTAGATCCTCCATAGCCACATCATGGATCCTCTCTCCTTCCCATGGCTTAACTTGGCTGTTCTCAAATTTAAATTCCGAGCTTTGACCAATCTCTTTGGTTGATGCAGTGTTTGGAGACAATTGCTGAGGTGTGGGGGGTTTCACTAGATTGAAGGTAGGAGAGGCTGGCACTACAGAGCCGCCATGGAATGGCTGCTGTTGTGAGAACTTTTGAAAGCTTATCCAATGACCAGAATCAACAGTTGAAGAGTCAGACTCATCACACTCAGGTATAGTAGCCGGGGCATGGAACTGGCGATGATGAGTGGGACTTGCAGGTGCAGATACCGCGTAAAACGGGTAGTTAAAAGAAGTCATCGATTGTTTAGCAGCAATGGCCATGGATTGTTTGGTGAAAGATTCCCAAGTGGGCAATGGTCTAGGGTTTTTAGAAGTTGGAGATGAGACTGGTGGAGTGACTGGAGCACTGTTTGAGATTCTAAGCGGAGGAAGCGACAAAGGAATTCCGCCGTTCCTAAGGAAAGGAAAGATTGTGGAGATGTTGTGTGTGTCGCCACCACGGGAAGGACTCGGGAACGAAGAAGACGACGGACTGACTTGGTAAGAAAGGATAGGGCTTTCAAAGGTAGAAGAAAGAGGGCTTTGGTTATAAGAAGAGTAAGGAGTGGCTCGAGATGATGATCCAGCCATGTCACAAGGAAGAGGCTTGTGTCCCTGAAGATGGTCAAAGAACACACAACAATGTCACAATCAATTGCCATTAGAAAAAACAACAATTACGTAAAGACTTTTGGATCACAATCACAAAGGACCCTTTTCCTCCACTAAGGTTTACATGACAAAAACAAGCAATGACTGAGAGATCTAAATATAGTAACCCAGAAATTAGTAAGAATAAACCCTAGAATCACTTACTAGATCCATTTTAGAAATTCAGCTAAATTCCCAAATTAAACCGATCCAGAGATCTTAAAACTTCAGATTCAACAGCTAAAAACATCCACGATTAAGCTCAGATCTAGACCCAATACTGACCTTGCGATAAGTGGTTCCGTCTTCTTCAACAATCCAACCAGCTTCAGAACAAAGAGCCTTAAGCACTTCATTATTATCGCAGTGTTTGGGCAGATTGTAGTTACCTTGAGCTCTAAGTCCGGTATATATCTTCGCCGCTACAGCTCTTCTCCGCCTCTCTCTCCTCCGATTGTTCTCCCTCTCTCTCCACGACGGTTTCCGCCTCGTCGCCGCCATCGCTGCTGCTGACGTCGACGTCGCTCCGTCAGACGTCATCTTCTTCTTCCCCCCCTTCCACCCCTCAAAAACCCCAGTTTTAAAAACGGGTCGCTGCAGATTCTGCACACGGAATTGAATCAGCTGAAGAAGAAGAAGAGTGAGAAGTTAGTGCTCACGAGGAATACGCTTTTTTTTTTTTCCTTCGCTGGAATTATAGAAGAATTTTTGTTTTCTTCATTAATTCAAAAACAAAAAGCAATGAAAAAAAAAAAGCAAATTTAGGTGAATGTTCGAGTACGCGCAGGTTCACATTTACTGCAGATTCGATAGAAATCAGCCACGTGTCGGTATAGTTTTGACGAATGGTGAGAAATAGGTGAGGCGTACGTAACTTACCGTATGTATGGTTTTGCGTAACGAATCAGTTGAAGCATAATAATAGTACGTTATTTGTGTTTCTCTCAATTTTGTGTAAAATGAGACCTGTTTTTATAAAAAGAGGAAAAAAAAAAAAAGTATGAGAGACATGTGGGTCCCGTTTTTTAAAAGTGGGTCCCTTCCGGGAGAAAACACCCCATCTGATTGGTTTCTGGGACATGTTAATAGAAAACAAAGTATTCTAAGCCTCATAACATTTAATGATTATAATTAATTAATTGTCACCACTATAGATTATAATAAAATAATTTTTCACTAAAGTGACAACAAAATAAATGCTCGGTTTTGTCCTGATTAGCAGGATATATCATGTGTCTATCCTTTACTTGTTATTTTTTCTTCTTTTGTTTGCATTTTATTAAGATACTTATATTTAAAATAGATGTAAAACAG